GGTTCCCCCTCCCCCTCTCTTCCTCGCACCCTCTCTGCCCCCTGCTCCGGCTCCTCCGGTACCCCCACCCCCCCCTGGTCCTGCCTCGTCAGGTGTGTCTCACGCTACCCCTCTACCCTCGGTCGCGCGTCAGGTAGCGTCTCCCTCCCCGCAGTCCTCCTCACAGTCCCCTCAGCAGCCTTCGGCACTTCCGCGACAGGTTACTGTGGACTCGGTTGGTGTTGGAGCTGGAGGTGCAGCTGCTGGCGGTACTCGGTCTGGGGGTGCTCGTTCGAGGGGTGCTGGAGCTGGAGGTGCTGGCGCAGGTGGCGCTAGCTCTGGGGGTGCTGGAGCTGGAGGTGCTGTCACTGGAGGTGCTAGTTCTGGGGGTGCTGGAGCTAGAGGTGCTGGCACTGGAGGTGCTAGTTCTGGGGGTGCTGGAGCTGGAGGTGCTGGCACTGGAGGTGCTAGTTCTGGGGGTGCTGGAGCTGGAGGTGCTCGCACTGGTGGTGCTAGTTCTGGGGGTGCTGGAGCAGGAGGTGCTGGCGCTGTAGGAGCTGGTACTGAGGAGACGGGAGCTGGAGGCTCGCCTACTGCGTCGCCCACTGCGCCTCCCCACCGCCACGACACCCGTTTCCAGGCCCTTCGCCGGCTTGAGCGCAAGGAGCAGGAGCAGTTGGAGCAGGAGAGGCAGGAGTTGCAGCAGTTGGACCAGCAGCAGCAGCCGCCGCAGCCGCCACTTTTGCAGCAGCTGTTCCCTCCAGTGAGTGGCCTTCGGGCCCTTGGTCTTCCTTCCTCTCCTCCTGTTCACTCACAGTCTCCTACAGCGTACGGTCCTACGTTTCCCCCTCCGGACTCGACTCCGGCTGTTTTCTCTCCTCCTCAGTCACAGTCACCTCCTCCTGTTGTCAGGCACGACCGGACCAGTCGTTGTCCTCCACGTGCTCGGCCCTCGTCTCCTCTTGCCGACCTCCGCACCGTCTTGTTTCGTTCTCCTCCTCGTCGTTCTCCGCCTGTGTTTGTTCTCCCCTCACCTCCTGAGTCGTCTCTCACCGTTTCCTCTCACCCTATCACTGACTACTACCGTGCTGCTCGCCCTGTTGTCTCACGTGTTCTCGCCTCTCATGTCACAGACCCTCGTGCCTCTTCGTCGTCTGTCTCGGCTCTTACTGCCGCTGTCGCTGACTTTGCTTCCACGCGCCGTCTTGACTACGCCACACGTGTGGTGGCTGCTCCACCTCCCCGTCCTCTGTCCGTTGGGGGTGAGTCTGCCCTTGGCTGTGACGTCCTAGAGGACAGGCAGTTTGAGCTGGAGTTCTTAGTAGCCGCTTCCCCCTCTCTCTGCGCCATGCTGCTTTCCCTTGAGGGAGACCCCGACGCCCTTGACATACCGACACCTCGCACGTACCGTGAGGCAGTGTCAGGGAAGTGGGCCTCTTAGTGGAAAGCGGCTATGGATGCAGAGTTAGCGTCTTGGAGATCCACAGGCACGTACGTCGACGCAGTTCCCCCTCCCAGGGCGAACGTTGTTGATGGCACGTGGCTCTTCAAGGTGAAGCGGCCGCCTGGTTCACCGCCTGTGTTCAAGGCGCGCTACGTGGCTAGGGGTTTCAGTCAGCGTGAGGGAGTTGACTTCTTCCAGACCTTCGCCCCGACCCCGAAGATGACTACTCTTCGGGTGTTACTGCACGTAGCAGCACAGCGAGACTATGAGCTGCACTCCCTTGACTTCTCCACTGCGTTTCTCCAGGGCCGACTACACGAGGAGATCTGGCTGCGTCGTCCTCCTGGCTTCACTGACACCTTCTCACCTGGGACCCAGTGGAGCCTGAGGCGGCCAGTCTACGGTCTCCGCCAGTCGCCCCGTGAGTGGCACGACACTCTTCGCTCCACGTTTCGTGACCTTGGGTTTCGTCCTTCCTCTGCCGACCCGTCGCTGTTTGTTCGCACTGGTTCCACTCCTTTCTTTATACTAGTGTACGTCGACGACTTGGTCTTTGCTACAGCAGACAGGGCAGCTCTGACTGAGGTGAAATCCGAACTGCAGAAGAGACACAAGTGCACTGACATCGGTGAACTGCAGTGCTACCTTGGCCTGCAGATCACCAGGGACAGAGCCGCTCGCACCATCACACTGACTCAGTCACACATGGTGCAGCAGGTCCTTCGGCGGTTCGGGTTTCAGTTATCCACCACACAGCCCACTCCTCTTGCCATTGACCACCGACTCACTGGCCCTTTTTCCGACGAGCCCTTTGAGTCTAGTGGCCCCTACGCAGAGCTTGTGGGCTGCCTCATGTACCTGATGACTTGTACTCGGCCGGACCTCGCCTTTCCCCTTCAGCGTCCTCTCTCGCTTTGTTGCGACTGGGAGAGATCGTCCAGTTCACTGGACAGCTGCTGTGAGGGTGGCGAAGTACCTAGCGACTACATCAGGCATGGGGCTTGTGCTTGGAGGGACACAGCCAGTTGTGTTGACCGGTCACTGCGACTCTTCCTACGCTGACGACGTGGAGACTCAGCGCTCGACTCAGGGTTACTGCTTCAGTCTGGGTGCTGGTGCTGTGTCGTGGAGGTCTACACGGTCGTCGTCTGTGGCTACGTCCAGTGCAGAGGCAGAGATCTACGCTGGTGCCATGGCGGCACAGGAGCTTCGCTGGTTGACCTTCTTGCTCGCCGACCTTGGTGAGCGGTCTCGCTCTGCACCAACCTTGTACGCTGACAGCAAGGCCATGATCCTCCTGTGTCGAGAGCCTCGACTGGAGAGCAGAGTGAAGCATATTGACGTGAGGTACTTCCTCCTGCGAGAGTTGCAGCGACGCGGCCAGGCACGCTTGGACTTTGTGGCCTCAGAGGCCAACACCGCCGACGTCTTCACCATGGCCTTAGCGCCTGGTGACCACCACAGGTTCTGTGTGCAGTTGGGGCTTGTTGAGGTAGGCCCTCGGTTGCTGTAGACTTGCTGTTTTCCCTGCTTGTTGTGCTTTGCTATATATATCCTAGTGAACTCTTGAACTGGCCTTGTGGCCACTTGCTTGTGCTCAGAATTTGTGTGGTGTCCTTGAGATCCACCCTGAGCTTGCTTTGTTTCTTGCATTGACTGGTCTTTGACCGTTTGTTCACCCTGCTTGCTTTGATGCCCCTCACTTAGCCTATGGGGGTGTGTCAAATATATAATATCTGGTATAGGCTGTAGTGAGGTGCCTTCTAGGGGGTACAACTTTTAGGTTTGCATATTTGTACCCTATCCTCTTTCTAGTTCACCCATTCCGTTGTGCATGCTTCTTAAGAGTTTCAAGTTTCCATCATGCCATTCCAGCCATCACACATCATCATCAGAATCCTGACCACTAGAACTAGAACTAGCAGTGCAGTTACTGCTAGAATCACTCGCATCCCTCAGCTGGTGGTCCCGAATCCTGATTCACCTTCCTGCTGCTGCTGCCATTGCCTCTCCCACTTTTCTTGGGTCGCACGTGTACTGCCGCTGCAGCCTTCTCCTTGCGCTTGGTCGGCCGCCACTTCTTCGAGCGGCGCCACATGTCCACGACTTGTCCCACTCCATGTCGTAGTCAAGCAAAGACACCGTCATCAGGTCATCGAGCTTCACCTTGCATAGGCTCGTCCGCTGCCAGCTCCTGATCATGTTCTGGCGACTGAAGCCGCGTTCGCACTCCAAGTGCTGACAGGTAGAACAGCCACCGCAGCCCACAATCTGACAAGGTTGGGGTAGCTTCGGGTCCAGTCGACTGTCGCGAGCATCGCTCCCAAGCCAGCGTGAAAGCCCTGCTCCTCTTTCGGTGTGCCAGATAGCACAGGCAGGAATGTGCGCATCTCCTTACGTGCAACGTGCTTGTCAACGACTGCCACGCACACATCCAAGCACGGACAAAAAAATGAAGGCATAATAAGTTAAGGGAAATTTGCCAGAGTGTGACAAATCACAAGCCACTGGAATTTCTTCAGCCCTATTTTTTGTTTAAAGCACGCATCGCTTCCTGATATTTATTCTCAGCAATGTCAGGTGTTGAAACAGCAACTTAACTAGTAGCCATGGCTAGGGTTTGAGCTGGCCATGGTGAGAAGGACGAGAGTAGCGAGAAGGAAGGGAGATGCACTAGAATGGGCAAAGGCCCAAGAAGAACAAGCGAGAAACAAAGCAAAGAAGGTACACCACCAGACAGGGGGTTACACTACACTAAACTACACTACTATAGGCAGTTTATATATAAAACAAATGCATACAAATATTTGTTTCTGACACACCCCCTAAACTGCATATAGTAGGAGTTGGTGCAATGAACACCCCCTGAAGAAGCAGGGGTACAGCAGGCAGCGGAAGAAGCAGCAGGTGGGAGTGAGGAGGAGGCGAGATAGAGATGAGGAGAGGAGGGAAGTACCAAGGAGGAGGTGAGAGGGAGAGATGAAGAGAGGAGGTGGGGGGCCAAGCGCGGCGAGCCCCTCTTACGAACCCCTTTTTTTACAAAGGGGGGGGTGAGAGAGGGAGGAGAGGAGGTGGGGGGGAGCCAAGCGCGGCGAGCCCCTCTTATAAACCCCCAATTCCACACCCCCTTTCAGCCACCCCCCTAAACCTCACCCCCCTTGTTCAGCCACCACCCAGAACCGCACCCCTTCCGCCACTCCCTCACCCTCCCCCCCACAGCGGCACGTGCGGCAGTGAGAGAGAGAGTAGGAGGAAACGACTGCTGGCTGGTCACACCTGCCACGCCCACACCCTCCCCCCCCCTCACTGCTGCAGGCGCAGCAGGGAGGAGGAGCAGGCGGGCGGGGGTGCAGCTGCTTAACACAGCAGCGGAGTGGCGGCAGCCTCGGCTTCATCCACCCCCGTCATCCACTCACGGCCACCACCCCCAACACAACCCCCCCCCCCCCCCCCCCCCCCCCCCTCCCTCCCAACGGCAGGAGCAAACACGGCAGCAGCAGTGGGGACGATGGGAGGGCGGGTGGGGTAGGGCGCTGCGGCGCGATGGGCTGCGCGGGGGGGGGCAAAACGCGGGGTGATGGCGTCCGCGCTGGGCGTTGGCGCACGCGCTGGCGCTGGCGTCCGCCGTTGGCGCTGGCGTCCGCGCTTGCGCTGGGCGTTGGCGCACGCGCTGGCGCTGGCGTCCGCCGTTGGCGCTCGTCGCTGGCGTCCGCGGTGGCGCTGGTCGCTGGCGCTCAAGCTCGGCGCTGGCGACGAGACAGTGGGGTCCACGCGGCTGCTGGTGGCGACGTGCCGAGGCACGACGGGGCGACGAACGGGGACGCTGACGACCAGCGCAAATCACGCCGCGCTGGTTGTCGCGGCCTGCTTCCTGTTGGTCGCGACGTGACGAACATGGCGTGACCGGGACAGCAGGGGCGACGGGGCGAGCTGCATGTTGGCAAGCGGTGGGCCCATGTCAAGAAAACGAAACGGAGGTCCGCGGGACGGACCTGCTCTGATACCATGTGAAACAGCAACTTAACTAGTAGCCATGGCTATGTCAGAAAGTTGGAATCAAGGATGACTAGAATGACAGCAGTACAGGGTTTGTATAGCAAAGCCTAATTGGGCTGTACCCCATAAGGAGTGCCCCACTACAGCCTAGAGCAAATAAATGCATAGTTCTGACACACCCCCATAGGCAAAGTGGGGGACAAGGTAGAGAACGAAGCAAGGTCAAGCTCAGGGTGGCTAACCCAATTGCTGCCACTCATGACCGTGCTATTGGACCCGCAAGGGAGAAGCGCCACCGTGGAGCCCAGTAAAGTCAGCCGACGGTGAGATTGAGTCAATCAAGTCAATGGGTAATAAAATCGAGCCAATCGAGTCAACAGGTGGTAAGATCGAGTCAATAAAGCCAGCAGGTGGTAAGATTGTGCACTTCGTGTCCTCTTCCTTTCCCCCAATGAACCCAATCGCCCTTCTATCCTCCAATCTTCTATCCTCCAACATTACCTTTGAGGACATCGCATTGGAGCAGAAGGACTGGGTGATTTGCGGTGCTGTGTGGCGCAAGACCCTCTCCTCATCCCTTCTCGTCCCCCAACTCCGTTTCACTTCTTTCTCCAGCTTGTACCGCTTCAACATTGCCTTTGAGGACCTTGTGTTGGAGCAGAGGGACTGGGTGATGGTGTGATGACGCGTGGCGCATGATTAATCATCGCCCCTCCATGTACCCCTCCTTACCTGTGCCCTTGAGCTGCACCGCTTCAATGTTGCCTTTGAGGACCAGGCAGGACTGGGTGATCTGAGATGGGATGTATTCTGCAAGAGCCTCGCCCCATCCCTTTTCCTCCCCCAACACTGTCTCTTGTTCCCCCTCCTAATTTGCACCGCTTCAACATCGCCTATGAGGATCTCGCGTTGGAGCAAAATGACTGGCTACTCTGAGATGGTGTGTAGCGCAAGACGTGTATTTCCTCCTTCCCCATTCCTCTTGGAGTCTGCACCGCTTTATCATTGCCTTTGAGGATCTCTCGTCGGAGCAGAAGGACTGGGTGATCTGCAATGGTGCATGGCGCAAGACCACTGTGCACGAGTGGGCAGTGCACCTCAATCACATCTATGAGGAGTTCCTTGAACAACACAGGTGCGTGCCCTGCAGCTGCACATGTACCCCAGTATGGATATGCCCAAGACGACCATGCAGGAAGTTGCAAGCGTGGGCGTCACACCTTAAGCACATCTACGAGGAGTTCCTCGAACCCCATAGGTGAGGTGGTACAGCCACATAGGGGAGATGGTGCAGCCACACAGGGGAGGTGGTGCAGCCACACAGGGGAGGTGGTGCAGCCACACTGGAAAGGTGGTGCATCCACACAGGGGAGGTGG